GTTGAAGAAATAGTGGAGTAGAAGCTATGGAGAGGTTTTGGTCAAGGAGATGCCAAGTATTGCATGCAGATTAGGTCTAATGTTACCTTTGGCTGAGATGATTTGCTTGGGTGGGCAAATGGCCAAATGTTACAACTATTTAGAAAACCATAGAAGTTGTTGGCTGAAAAGCTTTTCAGGATTTGGAGTCTCCAAATAGGATAGTTTTGATTGTTGAGCTGAGTGTCAACTCTATGTTTTATGTTGGACATAAGATATTTTAAAGAAGAGGGAATAGAGGTTTTGACCATGTCATTGAGTTCAGATTGTGAAGAGGCTGGGTGGTTCATGGAAGTTGATGCCAAGTTGGCCATGACAAGAATGAAGACTAAAGAGAATAAGAAGCAGAGAGGGAGGTGCGGTTAAGCTGGAGTCTCTTATACCATTAAGAAAGGATAGCATCAGCAACTGCGTGAAGTAATAGAAAAAGACTACATGCTGAAAACAGAGAACGAGTGCTGAAATGAATAAACAGAGAATGGGCATATGGAGAAGTCTGAAGTAGAAATATTTCATTATATATTCATCTAATTACATAGGAGAGGAAGAGTGCATATATACAAAAGTGCTGTCGACGAAAACTAAGCTAAATCAGAAATCTGTTATAGAGTAATGGTAAGATGAGATGATTTGTAAGGATTATTTCTGAAAAAGGTGACTGAATTTCTTGCATTGTATATGAAGTGGAGACTTTGAAAGGGCTGCTTGCTTATCACATGATCAGTTATTAGTTGGGGACCAAGCTGTTGATCTTTGTATGACTTAGGGGCTGTTTGGTAGCACCAATGATTTCATTTAAGTAGAATTTCGTAAATCCTCTAAATCCGGATTTACAAAATCCTAAGGGGGTTAAATCCTGAAAATTGTTTGGCAACATTTATGATAAATTTTGTGTGACTTATTGGCTATTCAATTCAGGATTTAAGGTGGTTAAAAGATTTTGGAAAATTAAAATATTTAAGGTGCTTAAGAGATTTAAGGCAATTACTTATTATTTATAATATTTTATAACAATTATTTTCATTAAAATTGTATTTAATCATATTAATTATTTTGAAATAACTAAGTATTTAACAAATAATTTTATTAAAAATTATATTAGTTTTGCTTAATTTTTTAATATTTTAAATTATATTAATTAAGTTATCCAACATTAACTTAAGAGTACATTTTGCCTTTCGCTTCTACGACAACGTTCCCTTCCTGTTGGAGTGGTAGTTACTACATTTTTTTATCAGAATAAACAACAGGAGCTCGCTTGCTGTGAAGGAAACTTTCTCCCTTTCGAGCGCTTCTTTGGCAAAATCCCATAAATCCACCGAATCAAGGATTTCGTAAATCCAGGATTTACGACGAAACGAGGGAATTTTTTGTCAACATCGGCTTTGATTTACTGTGAGATTTAGTTTTGCATTTTTGGTCGTTTGATTGGATTTAGCTCGCTGGCTGTGAAGGTAACTTTCTCCTTTCGCGCGCTTCTTCGGATAAATCCCACTCGGATTTACTAAATCCGGCTACCCCTCGGATTTACTAAATCCCGGATTTAAGCTGTAAATCCGTAAATCCGGGATTTACTGAATCCCGGGATTTAACGCGCGCACAAAAACTGTTTGGCTGGATTTAGCGTAAATCCGACTTAAATCCCGCTGTAAATCCGATACCAAACAGCCCCTTAAAGTGAATTTGAGATTCTGAGGGGCATTTCATTGGTAGAAGAATCACAGCCTTGGGAATTATATTGTATGAAAGACACGGAGACTGGAGTTCAATTTCAATTTTCAAATTGATGCATATCGTGAAATGTTATATGAGGTGGGAGAAAAAGGCATATCAATAGAATTGGTGTTTACCATGGTATTTATTTAATCATTGAAGTGTATTTTTTTGAAAAGACCCAAGTGGAAATCATTTAAATTATTGAAGGAAGTATTAAGGATATTTTTTTATGGAGATGCGTGTGAGAGTAAAAAACAATCCAAAAAAACAAGAGTTGGGTTTCTATATTATTAGTGTCTTGTGTACATTGTTGACTTGATCTTTTGTGTTGATATGTGTATATCAATAATATTTAAAGCTCTTAGCATCCTACCTTCCTAATAAGTGGTATTATAACTATTAATTTTGTTTAGATAGAGTTTCATGAGATTTGCGGCTTCCATATGGTGCTCATATCATGATCAAGGAAGATTTAATAGGTCATGAATCTCATTTGATACCAACATAGTTGAGTGGGCTCTTGGATATAGTTGATGTTGTTGAAAAAATTGTTTGGGGGGGGGGGGGGGGGGGGGTGCGGGGGGGGAACTAGGTCAAATGATGCGAGGGGAAGATGATTGAGGTACACTCGGGAAGATCACATTGTATTAAGTATGGAGGTCGCAATGTTGAAAGGAATAGTATTCTCATAAAAAAAATTTTCCTATATTCATGCACACTCATATTCGTGCCTCCCTAATAATCTCTGAGGTTAGCTAATGTGATGCAGAAGGTCTATATTCATGTATATCCTCCAGTGTGTTCAACATATCGTGATCCATGGGACTCCTTGCACCCCTATTAGACAAGGGTTGCAATGAGGATGATGGGTCTCACCCACTACACTCGCTCCCGTAGTACGAGCTAACATTAATACTACCATCAAACTATTTGTGTTAGGTGCTTCGACATTAGTTCCTTATTCATATATGCTTTGATCTCCTCTTTCACCATATCGGGCACTTTGGCTCTTATTGCTCGAATAGTTTTTCATCTATCCTAGTTACACCACTTTTCACCACTTTCTGGTAATAATTGCATTTCAAGTATACATGCATCTAGTCGTTGCCTCTCACATCAACTTGACTGCTTTGTGATGGACCAGCCGATTTGATTGGGAGGGAATTAGAAAGTTTCCTAATCAAGAGGAAGATGTTTAGGAAGATTCTTAATCAAAGGGGAATTGTTTAGAAAAGTTTTAATTACATTTGGGAGGGAATTATTTAGTGCAAGAGATATAATTTGAATTCAAAATCTAAGAGGGAATTATTTAAGGAAAGGGAGGAGGAATCAAGGGGGAATTGTTTAGGAAAGTTTAATTATAATTGGGTGGAAATTATTTAGGGCAAGAGATCTGATTTGAGTTCAAATATGAGAGGGAATTATTTGGAGGAAAAGGGGCTAATTTGGGATGGAATTAGAGAGTCTATTTAAGGCTAACAATAGGGTGATTGCACGATTATGATGTTATTTGCTGAATTTAGATTGTTCTTAGGTTGATTGGGCTCTAGCCAACGGCTAGAGAGCCGGATCCAATTGTATCTTGTCCTTCTTTCATAACTATTTTGAATAAAAAAGTGTTCTTGTGGGTTCTTTATTGTACTCAATTCTCGTCTGTGAATGAATACATCTAAAATTTTTCAATTTCTAGTTTGCTAAAATCAGATTTCAGCCATAGATTTTCACAAATTATGCATCCACTTCTTATCACTATGTTTTCAATTCGGGTTCTTCCTATGACCCGGTGTGATTTTATCATGTGGTTTTATCTTTATCTTTGAACATCATCTACAAAACATTACAATAAAAGTTGAGGAAAAAAAATTCAAACAAAAATAAATTAGGGTTAGAAAAGGGTTTTAATAGAAAAAATTTGAAACAAAATGTAAATTAAGTGTTTGGTTGACTCTATTAGTTGAATGGTTTTAATTAAAAAAAAAATAATATTCATAGAGGCAAACACCTCAAACCTATGAGGAAAGGCGCACGCCTTACAAGGAATGCTCGAGGTGTGTCTTGAAACATTTTTCTTCAAAGTTGCACTGAGACGTGCCTCATATTGCTCTATTTTAAATAGTGGTTTTCCCATATTAAAAGTGAAAATAAGAGTTGAGCTCCTCCTAATATGCTAGTAATGTCCGTACATCTTAATTTTTTTTGCTTTGATGGGAAGCAATTCACTAGTATGTTGCACTTTTGGCGGTTTGATTTTTTTTCCCTGGCGGTTTGATTTGTAAGTATAGGATGACATCATTGGGATGTTTATTGTTGGGAAGTTTTCCTGCCAAAGAACGTACATCCTAGTTTTAAAACCTCTCTATTCGATGAACAAAAGAAACGCTCCTTTTCGCTGGTTTCAATCAACTTATGACCCAGAATTAGTGTTTGTTAATGGTGGAAAGATAGGATATTTAGTAAGTTGTTGATTACTATGATGCATGCTTATATATTTTTTTATTAGGAGTCAAATTTAGAAGCTTATTTTTAGGTGGAAAGACTTGGTTTCGGAATGGAATTATTTGTGAAGTGGGAACTGCAACGAGTTGTACTTCAGTTATGAACCGTTTGAAATGCTCCAAATCTTAGAACTGTGAAGTTTGTCCCCCAAAGAGCATACATCCTAGTTTTTTAACCTCTCTGCTTTATAATAAAAGGAACGTTCATTTCCTCTGGTTTCAATCAACCTATGGCCTTGAAAATTAAATTGTTGTACGTTTATTTCACATGGAAGGCAACATTTCGGCAACCACCTAGAGTATTCCATTAGAAATAACTGTATGAGGAAGGCGAATTATTTTGCATTCCAAATAACATCTAGTGGCCTTTTATATTAAAATCAGTGGTGGAATCTGAAAGAACTGGGTGGTTCTAAGCCCCACAGATTTTTAAAAAAAAAGGGTCAATTTAGTTATATATAATGTGAAAGCTCTACTTCTATTTTTGTTTTTTTTTAATGGAAAACAAATCAATTGAGATTAGGAGGATGTAACTTCTTCATTTATTCAATTTTGCTTAGTAGGATGTCGTTCCTCCAGATTTATAATTTTGTACAGCTTATAGAGATGCTTTGTAACCTATCTATTGCCCCCTGCCCTGCATACCATCCTACTCTTCTGCTGTCCAAGCTTGTAAATCTCTGTAAATTACTCTTTCAATATAATAGACGATCGCTCTTTTTATTCATTTAAATTGAATTCTGGACACAGGCACGACTTGCATTTTGCAAGTTCATGGTAAAACCTTCTACCTTATCAATCTTGGATGAACCTACCAACCATCTGGATATACCATCAAAAGAGATGCTTGAGGTATCTATCCATCCCTTCCTCTTTTCCTGATACTATGCTGTCATGTTTCTGTAATAGCTAGGGAAGAATAAAAAAATTTAATCTTTTTTTTTTTTTAACAGGAGGCCATATCAGAATATCAGGGGACTGTTATCACAGTTTCTCATGACCGTTATTTCATAAGGCAAATAGTTAACAGAAGAGTGGAAGTGAAGAATAACACTCTACAAGACTATGCTGGTGATTACAATGTAAGCAACCTCAATGAGCTTATCAGTATATTCTACTTAAATTTATTTATTTTTTGCTGTAGTTGCTGACATGGTTTCGATTGTTCTATCACAGTACTATTTGGAAAAGAATCTGGAGGCCAGGGAAAGAGAAGTAGAACGTGAAGCGGAGCTTGATGCAAAAGCTCCCAAGGTGAAAGCCAAATCTAAGATGTCAAAGGAAATTAAACCTAAGACTGACCTAACCAGGATCTCAAACCCTAGGGCTATTGTAGTGCTCCCTGAGACTTTCCAATGAGCCTAAGAACACCTAATTTGGACAAGTGTGCAGTGAGTTATGAATTTTTGAAGTTCCCTTGAATTTCTGGATTTATTAATCCGGCAATTACACAGTCAGCAACCGTTGACATGCGCCGCGCGTTGATTCGCTAGGCAATGATTGGAGCTAACGGTTAACGGCCGGGTTAACCACAGCCATTGGATGGCAGATCGAATGGCTGGGATTAACAGCGCTCCGATACCGCAGGATTTAATCCGAGCCGTTGATCAAGATTAACGGCTGGGATTTCGTCTTCAACCTCCCGCTCGTATCCGAGACCGCAGGGCTTCTCCGGCTTGATCCGGGCGATCCTGCAGGTGAACTGCGATGAAATTTCAAAGGGAGGATCAGGATGGTGGTAACCTTCAATCCAACGGTGGAAATCCGTTGCGGTGAAGGTTTCCTTCACACTTGACTAAACTACCTATCTAGGGAGCTCAGGATGGAGAGATTACCGCAGAGAAGGCCTCAACGAATGAGCTTCTCTATCAGGAAGCTTCAGGGGATGATGGAGAATAGTTATCCTTCAGGCGTCGGGACCGAAGGACAGCTGGAGGTGTGACTTCGAGCGGGACGCCGAAGGCTTTCACGGGCGCTTGCTCGAACGGAAGGAGGGATCAGTCTCTGCGCTCGAAGGAAGCTTTTGGGAGTTCGAAGGAGCTCTGGAAATCGAATGAGAGTGAATGCCAATGCCTCTCGAGGTCTGGTGAGCTCGGGGGTAATCGACCATACTTTTTGGAGCTTGGACGACCGGGATTGAGCTGGAGGAGGCTCGGATTGCTGCCAGGTGGACGATGGCAATGTCCAGGGGGGATCGTGGAGATCAAACCCGTGGGCAGCAGCCTTGAGACAAGAATTGTCTGGGGGGACCACCAGAGCTCATTTCCCATTGGTTCCGACCGCCACCGGCCATGGTCTGGGTCAGGTTGACCGGGGGAGACCGATGGGGACATGCTGGAGCTAGGGGTGAACTCAATTTGGCCTAGGGAGGCCTAGATCGAACTAGTGGCCGGGTCAGACTCAAACCTGCTCGGTTCGAGTCGAATTGAGCTCGATCCAGGTTAGGTCAGACCCTGGGCTTGAGGTGGGAAGTGGGTCTGGGTCTGGTGCACCCAATGCAAGTGGCAATTGGATCCAATTTGATCTGGGTTAAAAGATGGCTCGGGTTGATCCAAACCTACTTAGTTTGGGTCAATTTGGGCTCACCCCAGGTCAGACCAGACCTTGGGCTTGAGGTGGGAAGTGGGTCTGGGTCTGGTGCACCCAATGCAAGTCGCAATTGGGTCCAATTTGATCTGAGCTGGAAGATGTCTCGGGTCCAAGTGTTTTCGGCTACTTTGGGTTAGCCTAACTCTTGACCCAAGCTAGCCCAAGGCATGGGCTAGCTGGAGGTGGTGTATTGGACCTAGGGCCACCTATGGGAGGTTTTGGTCAGGTTCAGTTAGGCTTAGGTTGAGAGTTGGCTCAATCCCAAGTGCTTTTGGGCACTTTGGGTTAGCCTAATTCTTAACCCAAGTGAGCCCAAGGGTTGGGCTGATCAAGGAAGGTTTGTTGGGTCAATGGGAACTCAATGGCACCTTGATTTGGATTCAATTTGATTAAGATCAAAAGATGGCTCAAGTGAGGCCTCTCTTTGGTCACTTGGGTCAAGCCATATGGCTAACCCAAGTGAACCCAAGGCTTGGGTCAGCAAGAGGGGTCTCTTGGGTACCCAAGGGGTCATCCCATGCATTCAAAGGACTTGGAATGGACTTGGTTCGGAATTTGAAAGAGGAGGGGTGTATGGGTCCATGGGTATATCTTAGTTGACTTGGTCAACCAGGTTGACCCAAGGTCTGGATTTGAGTTCAACAAGTTGGGTTTGATATTTGAAATTCATTGAAAGTGGTTTCAAAGAGTTTGGAATTGATTTGGGTTGAAATGGCCATTTGAAATCCCATAAGGGTATTTTGGTCAATTTTGACCCATTGGTCAACTAGGGTCAAAATGGGTTTGAAAAATGCAGTTTACTGCTCAATGGGTTAAAATCAAGAGTCTAGAAGTGATTGGAGGATTTGATAAGGGCTCCAAGATCAAAATCTTCAAGGGGTTAGGTTCAGTGGCATAGGATGTAAATATTTGAAGGTTTTATAGTCTTTGGATTTTAATTTAGATTCTGGGGTTAGAGACCTTAGAACGGGCTCAAAATTGGAGGGTAGCCTCTAAAGACATGTCTTATCACTTTGCAAGTGATAGACCCTGAATTAGAGGCCATTTGACTGGGTTTTGAGATGTTTGAAAAGTATTTAAAAAAAGGTGATTATGACTAGGCCTCAAAACTTTGGATTTGAGTCTGGATTTCTTGATTTGGAATGGATTTCAAATTTGATTGATTGGAGTATCCAAATCATTTACAATCATGTGGTAATTGTTAATGAATGGATAGGGTCAAAGCTAAATCAAAGGTTGGGTCAAAGTCTAGGTTGGAATTTGGATTCTCAAGTGGATTGCATCAAAGTTTGGATGTGTTTGGAATTTGAATTAATTAGGGTTTGAATTGAATGAGATTTGAGATTTGAATCAATCAAGGGTAGGATTAAGTTGAAGTTCGAGTTGATCAAAGGTGGGGATTGATTTGAGATTTAAGTTGATCAAGGGTAGGGATTGATTTGGAACTAGATTTGTCCTAAGATCTAGAGGGGTTCTAGGATCCAGGATCTAAGGGAATCCTAGGCTCTAGAGTAGGCCCTAAGGTCTGGCTCTAGGAAAGGATCCTAAGGTCTAAAGTAGATCCTGAGGTCTGAATCTGGCAAAGGATCTTAAGGTCTAGAGTGGATCCTAGGATCTAGAATTAATCTTGAGTTTGGAAGGGCCTTAGTGACCTCATACAAAAATGATGTCAACATGGTAATGAAAATTAAGAATGATTCTAAAATTTTCACAATATAAATTATAAGTTTTTTTAAAAGAAAAAACATAATCAAAAGAACTACAACTACCAATATATTATAAAAAACAAAAAACTACATGTCTATATTGATAAAGAATCTTTTAGAATAAAATATAAATGAATAAAAGCATTCAAGGCGAATCTGAAGCAATAAACATAGCAATCTAAGAAGCATCCAATCTCTTTCTCTCCTTTGAAGTCGAACAATCCTTCTGCTTCATCCTTAAGGATGAAATTTTTTGTTAATAGATTTGGGAATTCAAATGCAATCCCTAGACATAGTGTGATAAATATAAATTCACTAATTTTGGTTAACAAAAATTTTCATGGGAATGATTCTATAGTGGGTGAGAATAAGGATGCGAATATGGATAAGGTGACTGACAAAATGCCTACCAGAGCTGTTAATGGTGTCAGTGTTAATCCCTGTAGTAAGAATCCATATATCAAACTGGACTTTAATGATGATGATATGGTTTTGTTAGAACATGGAAAGGCTATAAAGATGAGTGAAGAGAATGAAATTTTGAATTCAAACAATTTGTTGAATTCATTGGTAATTAAGGAGTAAATTTGGACAATTTCATTTTACTTCTCATAGAAGGGGTTGGTTTTTATGTTCTTTCAATTCACATTAGATGGTAGAAGCTATTCTTTCAAGTGGCTCGTGGTTTGTTAATGGGCATATAGTTTGTATGGAAAAATGGACTTGCGATTTTTTTCCTTTATCCATGAAGGGTCTAACCTCTCCGATATGGATATGAATGCCACATTTACCATTACAATGTTGGGATGAGGTGAATGTGGCAAGGATTCAGAAATTCAATTCATTTTAGGAATGTTTGTATGAGCTAAAATTGTTGGCTGGAACTAACCCACTGGTGGTTAGGATATACTTCACTCTGTTATGGTTATCCTAGAACAATAAAAACAAGCTAAAGCATGGAAAGGTGGTGGATAGTGAAGCGTTGATTGCTGCTAATGTTCTCAGTTTTATCAGTATGGCTAAAAAGATTAAAATCCTCTCGGATCACTGGGATGTCAATTAGTCTTACCGACTAATTTCTAAATTTTGGAATCTTCCTCCTCCCGAGTGGTATAAAATAAACATTGATGTTGCACTTAAAGAAAAATATGTGGCTGGAATTGGTGGCATTATTCAGGACAACAAAGGAAGGATTGTGTTAGCATTTGGCATTTATGGTGTTCATTGGGACGAAGCACAATTGGAGCTTTTGGTTTTCCATTCTTTGAAGGAAGTGTTGAATGGAAATTTTCATGATGCTAAAGGTATTATTTTTTAGGGAAAAAATAAAAATTTGATCCAATTTTTTCATAAGTTGTAGAGCAAATCGAAGAAATTGGGCAGAAGCATTGAAGATGAAGATTTATTATTTTTAAGTTGTTGGAATAATGTTATTTTTCATTATGTTGGTTGGAATTGTAATAATTTAGCTGATTATTTTGTTAACTTAGCTTTTTCTTATGATTTTATTTCGGACTTATTTTGTGAGAGTAAACTTTCTCCTTCTTTTGTTCAATTTGTGAAGGAACAAAGTGATAGGGTGGTTTACTCTCAATAGTTTGTAATTAGATGCTCTGGTTTTTTTTCTTTTTCTTTTTTAATGCATTTTGCATTATTCAAAAAAAATAATAATAAGCATAAGTTATTCTAAACCTCTTAGAAGATGTAATATCAAGGAAAAAAATAATTGTTGTGACTGTAGTTTAAAGAATCTTTAAATAGAATTAGTATCTATATATCTTCTAATTCATCTCCATAATAACTTGAGATAATGAACAAACTGCAATTTGTTGTATATGATGTTATTTAGGCACTCAATGTATCGTGCAATGATTTAAATATGGGATTCATTGAGATTGTTCCATGCACCAACCTGAAGAAATCTTCTATTTATTGACTTACAGAATGAGCCCCTTGCTCACAATGCTTATATTTTAGGTAAATTATTCACTCAAAATTAGTAGGAAGAAAATAAGCCCTCAAATGTTGCTTCATCTTATACCAACTCCAAATCCTTCATTTCCT